GGAAATAAGATTTTCAATATAAAATCAAGTTCCTGTGATAACTGAGAAAAGGTAATTGGAATGAATAATTGATGTTGAAACTTTTGAGAATGGCTGTTAGTTATGCTGATGGACTAGAAGCCAGAGGGTAGAGTTAAGGCAGCATGGCAAGGTGTAGAGCACATGAATTTTGAAGTGTGACAGGCCCGAGTTGGAATTCCTGTTTCACCACTTACCAGCTGTGTCAATTAGGCCATATTACCTGAGAAATGTTAAGGAGGGTATTACCACTGACCCCATAGGAGTTTGAGACCAGCCCAGAAAACATGGTGAAATGCCATCTCTACAAAATGTTACAAAAAGTAGCCAGGGGTGATGGTGCATGCCTGTAGTCCCAGCTGCTTGGGAGGCTGAGGTAGGAGGATCTCTTGAGCCTGGGAGAGGGAGGTTGCAGTGAGCCTTGATTGTGCCACTGGACTCTAGCCTGGGTGACAGAGTGAGACGCTATCTCAGACAAAACAAAACAAAATGAAATACCCTGATGGATAAAGAGCAGGAATGGCAAAAGATCAAGAATTTAGGATTTGATGCATAGGAAGAAAAATTAGTCTTAGAAGGGAACATACACTTCTTTGGTGACTATTTGGAAGGAGAAGAGCCTAAACATATTTTCAAATGCAGAGAAAGAAAGCATTAGCTCCTTTGAAAGGATGTATCTTGTTGGTGAAGGAACAAAGTCATTTGCTATGTGAAGCAATGATGAAGAAGTGGAGTTTAGTAGAGAAAACTGAAAGCATATCATAAAAAAAGACTACAGATGTGAGTAAAAAAGAATAAATAGATTGCTCATCAGGAGTGAAAGACAAGCGACTGAAGTGGAGTCAAGATAGATTTCATGAGAATTTAGGAAAAGGTGTACTGGTAACTTATTTTGTAAGAATAGTAGGAAACCCTAGGGAGCTGCTTCAATTATCCAAATAGAGGGGCAAGAATCTAAGGTACATCATGATGAGAAGATTGAGAAGGTGAGAGAAATCAATAACATGGCCAAATATTGGCTGAGTGGCAGTGAACTGAAATCACTTTTCATATTGACTCACTAAAATGTAATCCACTATGGAGAGGGCCTTTATAAGCTTTTGAACCTCCTAAGAGTTGAATAGGCGCTCCATTTGATTATTCCCAGAAATGCATGATATGTAGAAGGGGGTAGTTAGGTCTTGTATAATGTGATAAAAGTGCAAGCATAAAGGAAACAATGAAACCTGCTTTAATTTCAAGGCACTCGTGAAGCCAGGGCATGCTCCAGAGCAGCAGGGATGCACCCTAACATGCTGGGGTGTTGACAGATATGTCTCCTTGTGGACCTGTGCTTGAGTAGAATGGGTTATGGTCATTCCGTTAGCTCTCTGAACCTCCAAGGGAAGAAAATCTTTGATGAAGAATCATGTAAAATGTAATCAATGTAAAATGAAAAGAAATGAATGACTTTTGAAGAACTTGATTTTCTTAAACTTGATAGAGGAGAAACTTGATAGAGATTTTCTTAAACCTGACTTCCCTACCATTTGGAGTCAGAAGAAAGTGAAGGTTTTCATCACAGCAGAAGACCAATGGCAGTTTCTGAATGGAATGAACTGCCTTGGAGTAAGGGGTTATAACATCAGCACTGGGAATCTGTGGTGGAATGTATGCCTCCTAAGGGACAGTAGGTATTGGTGGGTACAAAATCTTAAGGCCAGTTAAACCTACTGTGCTTCCTATCTTTGTTATCCTTATTCATTTGTTCATTCATTCATTCGAGTACTTACCATATGACAGACAATAATGGACTAGGTACATGGAATTGACAATATCATCATTCTGATGGAGCTTATATTCCAGTTGGGAGTGGGATTTGAGGGAGAGAACACAGTGACTTCTCAATCTGAAATATTTTTTATGTGTGTATATGCCTAGACATGTGTGGATGTATGTGTTTTGAGTGTAGGTCTAAGTGTGTGGGGGTGTGTGAGAGAGAGGAGAAAGAGAAAGAGAGAAAAAGAGAGAGAAAGAGGACAGAGAGAAAGGTATAGGGAACAGTTAGTAACTGCATTTCCCTGGCTCTGCCAATGTCAGTATAAGGACAATAACTACCAAATTAAATATCCTTGTGGGACAGCTCTTGACATAATGAAGTATAAGTTAATGAAATTACTTTTTTTCTGTTTCGTATTGTCTCAAGTTTTTCTTGTTGCTTATCAAAAAAAAAAAAGGGATATTATATGATCAAGATTACTGTGCTGAGCTAAATATTCTCTTAATGCTACTAATGGGATTATAAATTTGTCAAAATCTTCATGAAAAGCAATTTGGCAATATATATTAACTATTAATATGTGCATGTCTTTTTAATATGCAGTTTTAAGAAATTTATCTCAAGGAAAATAATCTATGATGTGGAAAACAAACGTTCATCATAGCATAATTAATAACAGAGATAAAATGCTAAAAATTTAAATTATATATGAAAAGAAAAATGGTTTGTCTTGTTATGGGCATCTACAGTATGAATGTTATATAACTAATTAAAATTATGTGCTCAAGGAGTTTTAATGACATGGGGCAATGTTTATGATATATGTGTTATAAAAAAAGAACAAGATACAATTTTTATATTTTGTCTATTCTTACTATTTAAAGCAGTTCTATAAAATTGGACAGAAGAAAATGGGCCACAGTGCTTTGTGCTTTAAGCATTTTCCACAATTTGTACATGTGACTTTTATATTCAGAATTATCAATAAATATTATTCAAAAAAAATCCAATTTTAGAACAGAGCTAAATGCCTCTGTAATTGTCCCACAAACCATTGAGTCCTAATCTGCAATGATCTGAAAAATCAACACTTACACATATAACCATAATATCAATTCAAATTGTTGCTTAACGATTCACCAGATGGCTGTATTTTAGTGCTATGAGAGCAATTTATTTTCTGCTTTTCTTTAGAAAGTTTGTTTTTACCTTTTTTACATGGTAAGTCTTGTCCTTGATCTGTGCATAGTAAATGCAGTGAAGTAGTAGCAATGGCCTTCATTGGGCTAAGATTTTATGGGAAATTTTAATTAAGTAAATAGAAAGCATAGGACATGCTATTTTAAGATTATGGCACATTTCTTAAAATGTGGCCCTGAAATCTTTTGCATCAGAGTAATCTCTGATACTTGATAAAAATATAGATTTCCCAGCCTACTAAATCAGAATCTTAGGATGGGCCCCAGTAATGTGTATTTTTAAAGATAAACCCCAGGTAATTCTCCTGAGATTCTCTAAGAACCACCAGCTGGGGAGGTTTGAGGTTTAGAAATTTTTGCATGGGATCTTGTCTGCTCCAATGTGAATAAGTACAATTATAACTGGTTTTCAATTGCATGAATTCAAAATACAAAATACTTTGCTTCTTAGATAAATCAGAATTGGAAGATGGGGCCTACTTACTGCTTTTCTGTAATCTTGTTAAAGAGGTTTACATTTGGAATTTACTGAAAGAGCAGATACCAGTGGTCAGTAACATTGCTAGGAATAGTGGTAGGGTGAGTGTATAGGTGATATGCTCTGGCTACAAAACAGCCGTTACAAGTTCCATTTCTTCTATGGTATCCTTTAAGGTGGAATGCTTGCTGAAGTCAACGTACATCAGAGTCCATAACTCATAATGAATTAGGCTTCCTTGGGGAACTGTTGTACCCTGGAGCATGAGCACTAGCCAGATACACTTGTCACTATGTGGCATGATCTGATTGTGTCTCCCAAGGTTTATATGTTGAAACTGAGTCCCCAAGTGATGGTATTTGGAGGTGAGGACTTTAGGAGGTGATTGGTCATGAGGGTGGTGCCCTCATGAATGATATCAGTGCCCTTATGAAATAAGTTCTATGGAGGTGCTTTGCCCCCTTTCACCATGAAGGTCAGAGTTAGAAAGTCCTATCTATAAGGACACAGGCCTTTACTAGGCACTGAATCTGCCAGCACTTTGGCCTTCGACTTTGCAGCCCCCTTTACTGTGAGTAATACATTCCTATTTATAAGTTACTCGATTTATGGTATTTTGCTATAGCAGCATAAATAAACTATGACATTATGTGTCTGGAAGATGTAAACAACTTGAGAACTTGGGTTTGTCTTATGTACAATGAAGATAATACTAGGACCAAATCAGTGATGAAAAAAATTTTTGCAAAATATTTAGCACAAGCCATGTTATCTAGTAAGCACTTCTAAGTGTTTACAGTGATGACTTCCCAAAAGCTCAGCTGCAAACGTTTGGGAAGTCAGGCTTTTCTAGTCTTGGAAGACCATGATAGTTATCAGATAAGCCAGAGATTTTGAGTAACCCCAATTCTTGAGGGGAGGGAAGTAGAAAGGAAGAGTAGCCAAATGTGCTAATAGTCCTTCATCTGAGCTAGATTTTTGATATCTGTTGGTTTCATGGAAAATCCAAACCTATTGTCATTTATTAAAATTCATCCTCTCATGGATGGTCCAGGACTGAATTATGTAAAATATCATTTGTGGAGTGATATTCATTTGTATACCTTTTCAGTTCAAAACAAAGTCAAAAGTCTCTCTCTCTCTCTCTCTCTTTTCACACACACACACACACACACACACACACACACACACACACACACAC